TTGCCTGCTTTAAGACTGCAGACAGCAGTTGCCTAGCAATGTTCGGGGCAGATGAAACAAATGGCTAACTCAGCTGCCAACCTCACAGTATCTAGGCCTTCCTCTCCCCATCCCCATGCAATGCTTCACCCACCCCAAAGACCACATATAAATTCAAAAGAAGGTACCTCGTGCACAACAGGGTAGCAGAGCCAGGCAACCCTAAGTGGCGAAAAGAAAAACAGCAATAGTTAGGAGAGGGAATTCTTTTGAACGTGACGATGAAAAACAAAACTATGGGTAGGAGGACAAACATCTTCCTTTGGGGTAGTTGAGACCAGAAGATCCACTCATCAGGGATGGGGCTTGCTACACAGCAACATTCAAGCCTGCCTAGTCTGATTTTCAGCCTAGGTGCCACTTAGAGCTATCCAGGCTGCTCCCTACCTAGTTGTCCTTTGGCCCTCAGCTTTTCTTGTTCTACCTGAACTTCCCCTCTGTTCTGACACTGCCTTGCTGGAACCTGACTGTTGCTTGACCTGCCTTTATTTCCTGTGTCTTGAACTATATCTGCACTGGTGTCTCTAGACTCTTGCCTGGCACATGCCTTCATTTCCCCAGAACTCTACATTAGGCAAGTTCTCTCTCATTCGCCACCCTTGGCTAGATAGATCACACCCACGCCACCAATTACTCCATCTGAAGTTCCCCTTTCTCATTGCAGGGTGGAAGTCTTGGATCTTACCTTGCAACAAGCACAGAACTTCCAGCACAGCAGAAGAAGCAGCCCCAGGAGGAGCATCAGCAAAATGACTAATGGGATAAGCCAAAGGAAGCTTCCTGATGGGCACTCTGTAACAACAAGAAAACCTTCATGGTTAGGCAGGGGTAGCTGGGAAACTAACAGAATTTGGGCACAGCAGGGAAAACAGAGGAAGAACAGAGGAAGCTGCCTTATACCGAGTGAGACCATTGGCCAATCTAGCTCAGTACTGCCTACCCAGAGGCTCTCTCCCAACCCTACCTGGTGGTGCCAGGGATTTGCCTTCGGACCTTCTGCATGCAAAGCAGATACTATACCGCCCAATTACGGCCCTTCCTTATGACAGGACTGGCCTAAGAAATTTTCTGCCTGAGCCAAAGGATAAGATTGTCCCCCAGCCACTCTTGATTCCACTTACAGAATCCAATTAGACTGGCAAATGAATCTTACTTCAACAACAAAGAAGAGGCAACGTCCTCCATCGTGCTTGAAGGCAGAAAGCTCCAGAATCTCACTGCCTCTTTCCAGTATCTGCCGCCTAATTTTACCTAAGGAAAGGGCTGTCTCTGCAGGTGAGGGGGCAAGATGATGGGAAGGCTCTAAGCTCTGTGACTGAGCTCCTACTTCCCATGCAGAAGTTCACAGGATCTGGGATCTTCAGGAAGAGCCAGGAAAGACTTCTGTTTGACACCCCAGAGACCCACTGCCAGTCAAGTTAGATGGACCAAATGTCTAAGATAGCTTTCTAAGGGGCAGAAGATCCTGTTATGATCAGAAATCAGTTTCACAGATTTGACTTTGTCTAGAAATCTGCATAATGGAGTTAGTTAAGCCTTCATTATTAAAACATGCCTCAGAAGATCTCAGACTATGCAAGTGTACAACTCTGACTACGAATCTGGAAAGAGAGAAAAGAGCTGCCTCAGTCTTGCATCTCTCCCTAGAACATCATTACTTACCTTTCTTCCTTTGCACAATAATGGTGCCATTAAGCTCTGGGTTGGAATCCTCTTCCATGCGATAGTGGTACCTGCAGTCATCCTCTTCATCTTGATACGAACAAATTGTATTTAGATCTTCCTCTGCAGAGACAAAGAAAAATTATAAAATGCTACCAAAACATCTTCAACATTCCTGAGATTGTCTTTATTGCCACCAACACAGGAGCAAAGTTCTGAAGACTTTGCGAGCCACATCAGGCAGGGCTTCATTGAACTCTTACACCAGTCTTTGGGGCAGTGAGAAACAGCAGGCTGAGGTTCCACTGTCTAGAAGGCAGTAGCTTAGTCAGAAATGTGATACAGTGCACACTGTCTTTAACAAGGCAACCATTCTCTATGGTTAAGGTTTGCCTGTTCATGCTATTGGTGAACTGTATGAACTGAAGGCTATTCCCTTGGAACCAAGACACACACTTGATTTGATGTACCATCTTAATATGGTGAACGTGTGTACACCCCAATGTGCAACTGTGTACACATTTATCCTTTAAAAATAGGTGGAGGAAGAATAATGTGTATTATTCATACATAGGTAGTGATGCAAGCGTGTTCACCATGTTTAGAAGTGAGTGCAAGATGGGGTAGGAGGAGGCCCAAGTAGTGTGTGGTGTTGCATGGCCCTGTGCTCATTCCATAGTTACTCTACTACACTTTGCGATGAAATGGCCCACAGTTGCTTCTGCAAGAGTCAGCAATACACAAGCTGGTGAACACTGATCAATATGTCTCCTGAAATAAGTAGTGGGTTCAGTTGATAAGGAAGTTCTGTACAGGACAGCCGAACACAATTTTGTTTCCACCAATGCACTGTAAGAGGAGGACTGCGATCCGTGCCAGTGATAGAGAATCTGTGGCCCTCCAGTTGTTGCTGGACTTCAGCTCTCATCAACCCCAGCCACAAACCTTATGGCTAGGGAGGATGGGAGTTATAGTCCAGGAACATATATGGATAGCCACAAGTTGACCACTCATACTCTTTGGCCTACAGCTGAACATCAAGGAAATCATGGTACCTTGTTCCAGTTCATCCACTACTCGGATCTTGTAACGGCAGTTTTCACATTTCTTTCCCTTCTTCTCTCCAGTCCCCCAAGCCTGGCACTGAACACAGGTTCGGACATCTTCTCCACACACATGTCGGTAGCCCTGTTCACCAGAGAAAGGACATCAGTCTACAGAAGTATTGAAGAGACAGAGTGAAAGACCAGCAGAGGTGGAACATTTGACTTTTGGAAGAGTGTTTGAAAGCAATACATACATTTATCTCATCGGAGAACAGGAAGGAGAGAAGGAACAAGTTGTTGCGTGTAATACATAAGACATATAGGGCTAGGTTAATCACTGTGCTGTGAGTTGCAGAGAACTCTCTTGTGAAAGAAGCTGTTACTGTGGCAAATAAATAATTGAGAAATTCCCTGTTGCAATCCCGACGAAAGAAGAATGGATGCAAAAAATAATGGAATACGCAGAAATGGCAAAACTTACCAGAAAAATAAGAAATCAAGATAACAAACTTTTTTTTATAAAAGAATGGAAATGGCTTATTGAAAATTTACAAATAAACTGTAAACAGATAAGAACATTGGTAGGATTGTTGTAATAACCTGCAGTTTTATAAGAGTACAGTCGTACCTTGAAAGCCGAACGGAATCCGTTCTGGAAATCTGTTCAACTTCCAAGGTGTGGCTTCCGATTGGCTGCAGGAGCTTCCTGCAGCCAATTGGAAGCCGTGGAAACCCCACTGGACATTCAGCTTCCAAAAGAACGTTCGCAAACCGCAACACTCACTTCCGGGGTTGCGGTGTTTGGGAGGCAAAATGTTTGACTGCTAAGGTGTTTGTCAGCTAAGGTATGACTGTATACATTTAAAGTAGATGAATAAACGATTAAGTTCAGTTAATTTGGAATATGAGGGGAAAAAAATTTTTTAAACGCAGAAAGAGGGGGAAGGAAGTTGAGTTTAAAAATGTTAAAATGATTGTAAAATTATTAAATGTATAAATTTGAAAATAATAAATAAAAAGTAGGAAAAAAGAGAGCTGTTGTAGATAGAGTGTGCCCATCTTTTGCTTGTTCTGGCTTGTAATGGAGACATCATAAGTAAGGGCTGCCGGGGAAGTTCATATTAACAGGGGAAAGTGGGAGCAAGGGAGTGTCCATGTGTGGCTACATTTGAAGTGATCTCTATTTGTCAAATATGCATGAGAGGCATAACGAAGAGTAAATGTGGTTTTAAAGAGTTTTAAAAGCACAAAGAATAATCTTTCAAATATAGCATAAGAATCGACCCAAAGTCCTAGTCATCGGATATATAACACTCTAAGCATGCTGACCAACTAAAGCCACCGGCTTCATCTAAGAGCTTACCAGGGCATAACTGGTTTCGCAGGTGGGTTCAATGTAGAGGGCGGGGTTACTACAGATGCATCTGCCGCATTCACATCTCCCGCGCCCATTACAAAGAATCTGCAAGAGACAAGGGCAAGTACTGAAAGTTCATTTTCAGGTGATACATCATCTTCCATTCTGAAATGGCAAAACCTTACCCAAATTCAGTTGAGGATATTTTTTTCCCCCACAGCCAAGAGGAAAGTTAAACATGGGGGAAAGAACCCTTTGGATAATCAGAGGGCTCTTTCCTTACATCTCTTAAGAGTTGGTAAGGATTTTTAAAAGCGTGTGAAGGGTCATAGGGTCTGCATCTTGGGAAGAAGGTGGACTTAAGCAAACAATTCATAATAGTTACATGGTGGCCTAGATTACTCAAGAGAGCAGATCAGAGTTTGGACTAAAATGCCCGTATTCCTCATGTGTGTAAAACAAACAGGTTACATATTCTGAACACTACCTCCAGTTTAACAACTGCTGCAAAAACTGACAAAATAAGCTAAAAACAGACTTCATACCCGTGCCTTACTTCTCCCTTATTAGTCGAGTTCCCACAGTTCTCAGAGCACAAAAGTAGAGTAGGAAATGGCCTTAGTGGGCAAATCAGCAGATGGAGGGTGGATGCAAAGAGGCAACTGAATGGTGCAATTTCATGCAGTTTTGCAGGGTAGATACAATTCCCTGGGAGTTTGGTGAACAAGCCAAGCCACAGAAGGTGGCTGTTCTGTGAGTAAACTGGGTTATCGAAAAGTGAGGCATGCTCACCTCCCACCCATGTCTGGACACTTGTGGCTAAACTTTTCCGCTGCCTCTTCTATACAGCATAATGCTGAGCAAAAAACAAAACAAAACACCACTTCATCCCGCGAAGGGTCATAGCTCAGTGGTAGAGCATCTGCTTTGCATGCAGAAAGTCCTAGGTCTGTGTTATGTATGCCGGTGTGGTTGCTCGAGAGCGAACAGGCAAGACCCCTACTGGACTTTTCAAAGGCTTTATTATCGGTGCAAAAACATTCACAGTGCAGGCTGTCTCAATTCCATGTCTTACTCAGTCACTAGCAGAATCTGGGAGTGGGAAGTCCTTAAACTTTCCCCAGCAGAGTAGTCTCTTGACCCCCATCCTACGCCTCCCCTCTCTGCGCGTAAACCTACTGCGCAGAGAGGGCATGGGCAAAGGGGGACCTGCCCCCCCCCCGCTTTGCTCCTGCTCGGTGCTGTGGCTCTCCCTTGCATCCTCCGAGCCCTGCATCCCTTCCCCACTGGAGGCGTGGCTTCCCTCCTCAGCGGAGGAAGTGCTGCTTCTCACGATCTTTGGAGGCTCCCTGTAACCCAACTGCCCTTCCACCTCTCGCCTCTGAGCTGATGGCAGTTCCCTGACAGTCTGACTCAGCATAAGGGAGTTTTCTGTGTCCTACCCCCTCTCTGTGGGTTAAACCACAGAGCCTAGGACTTGCCGATCAGAAGGTCGGCAGTTCGAATCCCCGCGACGGGGTGAGCTCCCGTTGCTCGGTCCCAGCTCCTGCCAACCTAGCAGTTTGAAAGCATGTCAAAGTGCAAGTAGATAAATAGGTACCACTCCGGCGGGAAGGTAAACGGCGTTTCTGTGCGCTGCTCTGGTTCGCCAGAAGCGGCTTAGTCATGCTGGCCACATGACCCGGTAGCTATACGCCGGCTCCCTCGGCCAATAAAGCGAGATGAGCGCAGCAACCCCAGAGTCGGCCATGACTGGACCTAATGGTCAGGGGTCCCTTTACCCTTTACCTTTACCTACCCCATCTCTGAAGATGCCTTAGATCCATTAATCAGTCTACCAGCTCAAGTCCATTATTGTGTACTCTGACTGGCAACACCTTGCCCAGGGTCTCGGAAAGAACATTCCTGAGAGCCTGGAGAAGTGAGGACTTGAATTTGGGAACATCCCAATGCAAAGCATGAGGCCTGCTACATCAACTTTGAAGTCACCCGGCCGTCTATTTAAACAGAACTCTCTCTGATCTTCAGGCTGTTGTACATGAAGGAATACAGCTTCCTATCTCCCTTGTTTATCTTTCTAAGAAGGGCAGGGGGGAATAACTTACCCCACTGCTGGAGATACAGGTCTCATTGCTTGTGGGACACTCACAGCCAGGGCCTTCCCAACCACTTTCACATGCACACTGACCCATGTAGCAGCGCCCCCGATCTGCATAGAGGAAGGAAACAAGGATAGGGTTTCATAGAACTCAGCCTACACTTACATGGCTGATATAGCTCAAGATTCACATCTTTGGCAAAGTGCCACAATGCCCATAGTTATGTCAGGAGCTTTGGGGGGTTTGTTGTTGTTTTTTTGTATCTTAGATATTTTATGCTTTTAAAAATTATGAATAAGATGAAAACAATAAAATGTATTGCAATAAATACAATACCATTTCACACTGTGGCTGTAGGAGCATTATAAGGTGGAAACAAATGTTGACGTCCAATAAAGGTCTGAACAGTACAGTAATGTGAAATTATGGAGGAAGTCCTAACATTTTTATCTATCGAAGGATCACAATTTTGGGTCAGTCATTAAGTGAGTACTGTTGAAAAACAGCTATACAACAAGGCCATGGAAGATGTATATACAACAGGGGTAGAGAAAATCTGTGTCGTGAAGCATTTAAGGGTGTCTTTATCCAAATGTGGTAGAAGTGCAAGCCATTCAGAAGCTTTAAATGACTATAATGAAGACAAAGAAATGGGGAACGTTAAGCTACTGTGTTTTCTACTTGATGGATTCATCGAGTATGCCTCCAACATTTTATAAAGGTTGATGCAGAAAGACAACAACATGGTCTTGTTTGCTGCAATAAGAAAGGCCAAGTACTGGAAAGGGAAAGGTGAACCAGAGAATCCATAGTATGTTTCGATTCACACTGCAGTCCTAACCACACATACTTGGGACTTAACTTCAGAGTACTTGGCATTCAGACATAGTTTTTAGGAAACTGCTAATGCTCAGGTCAACATCAATCTGACCTTGGCTGCAGCCAGATACAGTGAATGCAAGGAATCTGTTTAAAACACAGTATTTTGCCCACTCTGTCACTGGGCTAATCTCTACGGAAATGGATCACGAAAACACCTTTTGTTTTTCCTTCACTTGAGAATGTAACTGATGCCCTCTAGAGGCTTTCAGAGAGAAGATGACAGATCTATGACCAACCACTAAAGGCTTTTCTTGGCATTAGCTGTACAAGCCTAGGGGGATTCAAAGACAAAGAATATAAGGAAGGTGTGATAGCCTGCAGAAAAACCCAAACACCATAAGCTTTATAACTGGGGCAATTGGTTTGGGGAGGCTCTTCTATTCAGTCATTAACACAATAGTGAATCCTTTATAATCTATGATCTAGTTGTGGTGTGATTTCGCAAGCATCTGAGAACGGTGCAATGCTAACTGTGCCTGCTAAGGCCTATCGGATTCAAGGGAGCTTACTCTCAGGTAAATGGATTCAGGTGTGTAGCCTTAGCCTGCAGCAGAAAGTTGTAACCACCTGAGGGCAGACCTGAAGCCTGGTCACTGCTCCAGAAGGCCTCACTCACCGTTGCAGAGGAATCCAGAACTGCGGGGACACTGCAAATTGTCAAATTCACAAAAGCGGCCCTCAAAACGCTGGGTCCGACCTTCAGAATAGCACTCGCATTGCCCACAGAGGCATTCACCTTGCCCTGAGCAGGGCTCTGTATCCCCTGGTCGTATGCAGGCCGCATCGTCAGTAGAGGAGGTGGTAGAGCAGTTACACGTAGCTCCCCGCCTGTCAAGGAGAAAGGAAGTCAAGACAAAGACTGAGAAAGGCCTCAAAGGTCTGACATCTTGCTTAGAAGGCATGGTGCAAAGAAATGATAATAATTGGTCACAGCTCAACCTTTCTTTGCCATGAAGTGACTATTGAGAGGTGAAAGTGTGGCTCAGAGAAAAGCAGACAGCATGAGTCCAACATATATTTGAGTCTAAAAATTTCCTGCCTCCTATTCGTAATTGATTTGGAACATAACGTTGAACCATGGTTACCATTAACCAAGATTTATAAAACAACAATAAACCAGTAGTTTATTGTCCAGTAGTTTGGAGGATGAATTGTTTGGGTTAGGTTGCTGGTCCCATAGATTTTTTATTTATTTTTTGCTGCTGCACTGCTGCATTTTATTGATATCTGATGTTTTGTGTTTTATTTTATACAGTTGTCCTTATGCTTCTTATTCGAAGCTGCACTGTGTTCCAGATTGGAGGAAGGGCAGGGCACAAATCAATCAATCAACTGATATTTTCTGCTGAAGGAAATAGAAAACACACACCCCACTTAATAAAAAATAAGGATGAGGTATTTACCAGCCTGCATTGCAAATACACTCTCCACAGGCGAAGTTCCCCCTGAAATTGCACCTAGGTGATAGGACTTCCTGTTGCTGCAATACAATACAAGAGAAGAGATGTTACTGAACTTTATTCTAGGGGATCAGATTTAGTCACATGTCCTTCAGAGAAAAAATAATGGTAGCCTCTAGTTTTGCTTCTATATGCAAACTTAAAGAGCTCATACAAGAGTCAGGCTTCCTATAACATTAATATCTAGAGCCATTCTTGGGGTAGGACAACCAAAGAGGAGAACAAAAAAGTACCAGTTCACAGGGGCAGGCGTCGCAAATGACTGAGGCTGCTACTTCCACGTTGTTACCGAAAGAGGAGGGCTTAATGTGGAAAACGCCATCCCGATCTTTCTCCGGGAGACTGCAGACATGCTTGTCGCCCACTTGCTCATGGGCTTTCACACGTACTTTGAATCTGCCCTAGATGGAAGAGAGAAGTCCTGTTCATTTGCTGGATTGATCCAAAGAGAGAAAGACAAGAGAGATATGCCACTTTAAACAGCAACCTGGAAGGTGAACGGCTAGGCACAAGGCTGAAGACGTAGAAACAAGGAAACAGATATTGCTAACCTGCTTCCGAGATGGATAAGAAGTATATGTTCCGGACGCTGCACCACACTGGCTGGCAGCATCCCCCCCCCCCATGTATAAGTAGCTGGGTGGGATGGAGATACAACCAGAAAACCTACACGACGTGGTGGTGGTCTGGGATATGGGGCCCTGCTCTTCCTGTCCTGAACAGTTATTGTTAATGGCTGCTTCCAGATGGTACTACCTAATCATTGCTCTCAAGTTCTGAACTAAAAGTGAATTGCAATTGACTTTCCACACTAGAAGGAGCATTGCGCTTCTGTGTGAGTCTTACTTTGTCCTGCCCATCCTATCAGGTGTGACGTAGCTGATGCGGATGGGCGCATTTGAAGGTCAGCAACACACATTCGCTATTCATTCATTCAGTTTATATCCTGCCCTTCCTCCTGAGGGAAACCAGGGCAGCTTGTGGGGAATGCCTTTTTCTTCAACCCTGTTTTCAAAATCAACCTTTTTATTAGCAGTAAAACACTTTCCTGCCTTTTTTTCTGAAATGGAGGAATAACTCTTAACACAGTCATGCTATGTTGCTGCTGCTGCTGCTGCTTGTCTTACAGTGCTATAACAGTATACTAATGCAATTATGCAATTTCTATTCTGAACTTAAAAATGGAAAGCATAATGCTGGTGGTCAACAAAAGAGGTTTAAAGACTCTCTCAAGGCAAATTTAAAATTGAAGTATAAACACCGACAACTGGGAAACACTGGCCTGTGAGCGCTCCAACTGGAGAACAGCCTTTACCAAAGGTGTTGTGGACTTTGAAGACACTCAAACTCAAGATGAAAGAGAGAAACGTGCTAAGAGGAAGGCACATTTGCCAAACCCTAACCATGATCAACTCGCACCCGAAAACCTATGTCCCTGATGTGGAAGGATGTGTGGATCCAGAATTGGCCTCCACAGTCACATATGGACTCATTGTGAAGACTGTGTTCATGGAAGACAATCTTACTCGGCTATGAGTGATTGTCAAAGAAGCAGCAGCAACAACAACAAC